GAGCTAAATTGTATGATTTTTGTGCATTTTTGGACACACCTTGATTGACAATATAATCCGCCACCTAAAACTTAAATTTTCCAGATCTGTGTTGGAATTTTGGTTGGCCACTGGTCTGCTTCTGGAGCTAGGTTTCTGAAATTCCCCCACTGAGAACGAGAAAGACAATCAGCAATTTGATTTTGTTTTTAAGGGATATAAATTGCCTTAACTGACGTATTGTTTTTTAAGTTCATTAAAACCATTTGTCTTACTAAAGTCATAACTCTACTTGATTTGCTAGTTTTCATATTAATGATTTGAACAACCGCCTGATTATCAACATGAAAAATAACTTTTTTGTTAACAAAATATGATTCCCAGGACATAAGTGCTGCTACAACTGAAAACAACTCTAACAATGTCATATCTCTGGTGATTCCAGTTTCAACCCAATGTTTTGGCCATATGCCTTGGGCCCACTGACCTGCAAAATAGATCCCATACCCACCTTTGGACCCCCCTGCACTATCCGTGAACAACTCTAATTTTTCATTTGAAACCCATACATTGTCGGTTATTACAGTGACACCATTGTATTTTTCTAAAAAGTCTAACCAAACTTTTAAACTGCTTTCATCTGCTTGTTTACTCGAATTTTGTAATATGATTTTCTTACCCCGATTGTTGAATTTATGAGTCTGCGACAGAAGGTGCGGCCTGGAGCAACCACCTTACAAGCAAAATTCAGGAGCCCAAGAAGAGATTGCATATCTTTAAGAGTTATTTTAGAACTGTCTAAGGTATCTCTGATTTTTTGTGAGAGTTTTTCATTTGGAAGCCGCATGATTAAACTCTGTGTATCAAATTCTATACCCAAAAAAATAAGTAATGTCGTAGGCAAAGTAGTCTTGTCACTAGCAAGAGGAATACCTATTTTGTCGCATACCTCTTGGAATATCTTCAAAGTATTGCCAACTTTTGATGTTTGGCTCGACTCGACAAAAAGAAATCATCTAAATAATTGAGGATATTATCATTTCCGCTTTTTTGCTCTATTATCCAATGCAAAGCTTTTGCAAATTTCTCCAACAGGGCACAACTTATTGAGGCCCCCATTGGCATCATTTTATTAAGATAATATTCACCCTGAAATTTTATCCCTAACAAGTCAAAATCCTTGCGAGGCATTTGGCAACAAGCGAAAAGCCGCTTTTACATCACACTGACTTAAACGGGCAAATATTTTGTGTCTATTAATCAAACATGCTGCTTCGTCCACTGAACTGTACTGCACTGAACAATGATCTTTATCAATAAAAACATTTATTGAATTATTCTCAGGATAGGATAAATGTTGAATAAATCTAAAATCCCCATCCTTTTTTGGCACTAGCCCCATTGGTGATACCTGAAGTGTGGGAAAAGGCGGATGTCTGAAAGGACCAGCAATGTGACCAAGTTTAACTTCCTTCATTAATTTTTCTTTAAAAATGTTGGGTAGCTGTAATGCATTTTTAAATTGGAACTCTCCCTTGGTTCCCTAGAGCCAAAATATTTTAATGAAAAACCATATTTGAAACCAGATATAATTTCATGTGCTACATTGTTATGTGGGTAAAATTCTAAATAATTTTCCAAGACCGATACTTTAACAGGAGTATTTCCTAATGAATAAAAATTAATACTTTTTGTTACTTCTTCCTTGGGCCCGGTTATTACATTGGGCCTTTCTGTGTTTGCCACTGCATATTTCACATACATGTTTAAACCTACAACGAGGGAAGTAGGGACAGTCATTACCATTACTATAGTATTTACATGACATATTTACACTTCCACTGGTTACCTGTGATTGTTGATGTGTTATCGTGTTAGTGTTTGAAAGTGTAGCTGCATTTGAGTTATAATGACTACGATTTTGTGTATTTGTTCTATAACCCTGTGATTGCACTGACACATTGTTTTGTACTGTGGGAGATGTGATGTGTAATAACCAATATTAACCGTGTATGTTTCCCCAAGATAAATTTGGATTCTTTTCTATTTTTAGCCTAAATTGCTCGTCATAGGTGGCCCAGTTTTCTGACCTCGTTGCCGCTAATCTTATATCGCGCATATATTTTAACAATTCCTGTGCCCGTGTCCTGTATTTCTCAATGTAGACACTCATCCGCTATATAGATGATGTTCTCCCACTAAATAATACAAAATTTGGTGACTATGTTGAACGAATCTATCCCATCGAACTAGAGAAAAAGGATACTACAGATACAGTTAAGTCTGCCTCATATCTTGACTTACATCTAGAAATTGACAATGAGGGTCGGTTAAAAACAAAACTTTACGACAAAAGAGATGATTTCAGCTTCCCAATTGTGAACTTATATCTCCCAATTGATACGATATTCCCGGGCTTGTGTTTCCTATCATGATTTCCTTGATAGAGGATTGCTGCTTACAAGGAAGCTATTAAACCAAGAGTTCCAAATGGTGAAGTTGAAGTCATCCCTTGGTAAATTTTACGGACGCCATCACGAGTTGGTTGACCATTATGGAATAACCGTTTCACAGATGATATCGGATATGTTCCTTATGTCGTAACTACAATACCCTCCCTTTTCACGAATGTGACTTACCGAATTAGACTATTTACCGGATTTGAAGTAACATAAGCAACACGACGGGTGCCACATGTGGAGCAGGATCTGCTTACCCTTCCGGAGCACCTGAGATCACCTCCAGTTTTTGGTGGGGTTCGTGTTGCTTAGTCTTGTGTTTTCTATGTTGTGTCATCTGTACTATTATTTGTCTGTTTGTCTTTTTATTTTTGGCCATGGCGTTGTCAGTTTGTTTTCGATCTATGAGTTTGACTGTCCCTCTGGTATCTTCAGTCCCTCTTTCATAAAAACCATGAATGCTGAAGTCCATTCATTTATGGACAAATAAACACCCGACGATTTTTTTCAATGCAAATTTTCCCCCTTTTTAATTTCAAATCGCCCTCGTCAACCTCCTCCATTTCTTTTATGTGTTCTCAAAAGATAATGAAGCTCTATAAATTTTCCCTCCCAAATCTTTTCCTTAATTTTAAAAGGCACGTGTTCCCCTACTGAATGAATAGTATAGTATACTAGACTCTTGTGTCGGAGTGAAATCAATGGAATTATTTGCAATTTCAAAATTTTTGTGTGACGGGTCGTGCCTAAAAAAGGGGAATGCCCGTGCATCCTCCTCCGACTCATTACCTGATGATATTTCAGCATTTTCTTCTTGTCCTTGTGTCTCCACGTGTCCAACCTCCTGTGTTTTCCTGACCATTCTTTTCCGTCCAACTTCGTCCTTCTGTTGGGTGATTTCTTCGTTCCGCACTCCCTGTCCTTCTTTCCTGCTGGTCGTCCTCCTCTTCTTTCCAATGGCCCTTGATGGCGATCCCTTGGCATTTCTTTTGTTTGGCATCTTTTCGTTTAAATAATTTAATATAAATAATTTAACTAATTTCTGCAGCACCTGCTTTGTTGTCGACAGCAAATTAACAAGTGCCCGATACGGGAATTCCAAAATTCAGATTCCACCTGAGAGCGTCATCTACGGCCATGCCAAATATGGCAATGAGCTAAAGGCTGCAACACCCACACACCCACACAAATATTTGATTGAATTAAACCAGATTATTGAAAATATAAAATTTTGATAATCTCTATTATAAATGGTGTGTCAAACGTTTGATTGAGTTTTGGATTAATTTTAACCGTGGATTTATAAAATATATATATATAAGCATACAGTTATAAATGTTTATGTAATGGCTGGTAAACACTTTAATTCTAAAGAAACGTAAAAAGTTTTCATCGTTTTAATAATTGTTTGTTTTGTTATAAATTTAATATTGGGTTAACATACATCTAGACACTTTCAAAGATTTTCTGATTGATCAATCACATAAACACGAAACAGGTTATGTTGTTATCGTGAATTGCGTCAATTTAATAAATAACATACTAGTAATTGCAAATGTAATTTATGTATGATTCTTGTAAATTTTGCTATTTAGTTTGTCCACTTACTTTACAGAAGTTATCTATTTATATCTTAAACGAAAAATTATTGTAGAAAAAATCATATGCTCACCCTTGTTAATCTGTAAAAGTGTATCTATTCTGTATTTTATATTTGTTTTTATCAATCAAAATTCAATGAGATTTGACAGCAATTCAAAGTTTAATTAACAAGGTCTTTAATGAGATGATTGATTGCAATTTCACTGTGATATATAAATATGGTCATTCCTTGATTTCTCCTGTCCTGTAGTAAAATTCTTGCGTAATTTGGAAATGCATTATTACACAGCCACATCCGATCTGAGTTGGGACGTCATATCTGACGGACAATGTAGGGTGATTACCACGCGCTCTGCATGGTAGTGAACCTTGCAGCAACCATATGAGAAGTTAGCCTGTTATATTTTACCCTTTCCTACACACATACATTTTCCAGTTGCAGTTCAAATGTCCCACACTCCATCCCGTTCGACCTTCTTTGCAGAACCATGCCAATCATATTGATTGCTCATTTGTTCTGTATTATTTGCCATTGAACGAAATCAATCAACAATCAATTAATAGAAGATCGTTTTTGTAACAGTCTGCATTCACTTTAGGGGGACAATAAGCAAGTGTATTGTAACCATTTCTATGATCTATTGTACGCGTTAACATAATTTTGCTTTTAATTTCATGTTCTTGCCATGCTAAGATATTTTATTGTTGTACTTCACCTAAAAGTCATAGACTTTCTAGATGGTCTAGCTTACACCTCACTTCAAGGGCATTATCATAGGTCTTAGCGGAATTATTTTTGTCAACCTAATAAAACTGTGATGAGATAAACTTTTAAAGTTGTTACCCAAAAATAAGATAAAGTACTAAACTATCTCGTAACAGAGTCTCTTTTCTTAAGACAGGATTTCTTTTAATTAAGTAATTTGTTTTATGAAATCACTAGACTCTACAGAATCTACAATGCCACTATCCACAAAGATAACAACTGGAGGAGCAACAGAAAGCACAACAGACATATTAACAACAGAAATCATAACAGGAGCGATAACAACAGAAGGTACAACAGCGGTACAAACAGCAGAAAGCACAACAGACAAACTAACAACAGAAATCATAACAAGAGATTTAACAACAGAAGGTACACCAGCGGTACAAACAGCAGAAAGCACCACATATATGTTAACAACAGAAATCATAACAGGAGCGATAACAACAGTAGGTACAACAGCGGTACAAAAAACAGAAAGCACAACAGACAAACTAACAACAGAAATCATAACAGGAGAGTTAACAGCAGAAGGTACAACATCGGAACAAACAGCAGAAAGCACAACGAACATGTTAACAGCAGAAATCATAACAGGAGAGTTAACAACAGAAGGTACAACAGCGGTACAAACAGCAGAAAGCACCACATATATGTTAACAACAGAAATCATAACAGCAGCGATAACAACAGAAGGTACAACAGCGGTACAAACAGCAAAAAGCACAACAGACAAACTAACAACAGAAATCATAACAAGAGATTTAACAACAGAAGGTACACCAGCGGTACAAACAGCAGAAAGCACCACATATATGTTGACAACAGAAATCATAACAGGAGCGATAACAACAGAAGGTACAACAGCGGTACAAAAAACAGAAAGCACAACAGACAAACTAACAACAGAAATCATAACAGGAGAGTTAACAGCAGAAGGTACAACATCGGAACAAACCGCAGAAAGCACCACATATATGTTAACAACAGAAAGCATATCAGGAGAGTTAACAACAGAAGCTACAACATCGGAACAAAAAACAGAAAGCACAACAGACAAGCTAACAACAGAAATCTTAACAGGAGCGATAACAACAGAAGGTACAACAGCGGTACAAACAGCAGAAAGCACAACAGACATTTTAACAACAGAAATCATAACAGGAGCGATAACAACAGAAGGTACAACAGCGGTACAAACATCAGAAAGCACAACAGGCATGTTAACAACAGAAATCATAACAGTTGAATTAACAACAGAAGGTTCAACAGCGGTACGAACAACAGAAAGCACAACAGACAAGCTAACAACAGAAAGAACAACAGGGGAATTAACAACAGAAGGTACCACAGCGGTACAAACAGTAGAAAGCACAACATTTGTATCGACAAAAGAGATCATGACAGTGGCATCAACAAAAGAGAGCATAACAGTGACATCAACAAAAGAGATCACGACAGTGGTACCAACGAGAGAAAGCACGACAGTCGCATCAACAAAAGAGAGCACCACCGTTGCATCAACGAAAGAGAGCACACCAGTGTCATCAACGAAAGAGATCACGGTAGTGGCATCAACGAAAGAGAGCACACCAGTGGCATCAACAAAAGATAGAACGACAGTTACATCAACGGAAGAGAGCACAACAGTGGCATCAACAAAAGAGAGCACAACTGACACAATAGCTACTCGTAAGTATATCGATATAATCTTAACCATATAGAATAGGTTTAGTTGTGGCAACAACTTGCATGAGGCATAATTTTGATAATACCCTCAGGGACTTATAGTTCTCCAGCAGTCGTACGCCCGATATTAGTAAATATATAGGTTCTGTCAGTCCGAAATATGTAATATAAAATGATAAACATATGATATTTATAAACGGATCACTGAAAACAGGTCTCCCCAAAAAAGTAAAAATCGAGGAATGAATCGCAAATCTAAAAGTTAAAAGCCAAATGATGAAGAAGCAAACCCCCCCAAAAAACATTGTAATTTTTCAACTTCAGTGCATTGCAACGTAATTAATGAAGAGACGGAGTATACTGAAGGAGTTACAACACTCAAAGAGAGACTGACTAAATCATGGCAAAACGAAAAACGACGAAAATACAAAAAGCATTCTACAAAACACTGCATAAATTACTTAAGACTTACAAACACGAACCCCACGAAAACCAAGGGTGATCTGTTTTTAATGGTATCACATTTCATTAACCCGGTATCTTATATAGCTTACTATACGGTATGTTTTTTTTATTTCTTTTTTTAAACACGTGTTTACCTGTGGTGTTATGTGGGTAATTGTCACTTCGGCATTCACACCACATCTCATTTTGTTCATATTTATGATATATAATTATATATTTCTGTCTTCATCGGTTTGCTTGCAATATGCAGACATTGATAAATTGGTAAATTCCTATACAAGATTTTATTACGCTCGCACTAAATAGATGGTTTTTTTTGTTTTTTGTTTTTTTGTTTTTTGTACATAATTAAGTGAAAACCTTCAAATCTATCCCTTCTTCAAAAAAGACTAAGGTTCTTAGTATACTGGCCGTTGCATAGCAGGACATTATTTCTTCCTGTACCATTCTTGATCATTCTGTGTAACATTTCCTTTGAAATACTACCGTCGATATTAGAGTGTATTGCGGTATGATTTCTTTATTAGAAAGTCAAGTGATTTAAACATGAATGCAGCAACTTTGAAAATGCATTTGTACACTATTATTTAGTTTTGTTTGACGTATGAACTGGTGTGCATTATTCCCAAATGGATTTTTTTAACTGATTTGTAACATTCTATGCATTTTAGTTATTTACCTGATTGAGAATTCATTGGTGCTGAAAATAAGTGTATCTGTTCGAGTGCCTCTACCATTCGGAAACTCCCCAATGGTTGTCTACGTTATATTTATGTTTTCCCCCTTTTTTTTATTAAAAGGTGTGTTTATCCAAGATCTTTGATAGCCATCTTCAAAATAGTCGCATTTTTTTCGTAAGCCTTGGTTGATTTAGAGCTTGATATACTCTACATATTCTAACTTGTCTATTGATATTGACCATATGTTTACCTTTTGATATTTGTTTGGTTTCTGTGGATCTTTGGGTTTCTGTCTCATTGAACTATATATCGTATCTTTTTAATTCACATTTTTTACATATTATTATAAGAAAACACGCACCTGTTTAAAATAGTAGATCTGTATTGTAAAGTAGTATCCCATTTGTCGAGATATTAATTTATCGCCCTAGTATTTGTATTATCGATGTTTCTTAAAACGATATGACGTTTTTCTTTTCAGTATCATAAAAGTACAACCCGAATATAATTCTAACAAAGAAACTACATCGCGTGTATAGACATTCGCTTACTTGTGCAACCCCAATAATTGATGACACCATTGCACCCGCAATCTAATATATTTTTGTTTTGTGTTTTTTAATTTATTTTGGCTTTATAACATTTGGTCTTGAGCACATCCATAAGGAAGGTTGCGTGTTGTGCCTACTGACAAAAAAATGATACGGTTATCATGTAGACGCATAATTTCATGCGATTTTCTCGTACTTTGTGTATCTTTACCTTGATTTGTATCCCCCTGACAATTTTGTGAGATTTGACCATCGGTAATCTAATATTGCCCCTTATCTATAACTATACGACAACTTAGATATTATAAGCGTTTTAAAAAAGTAAGAAGTGCATTTGATGTATAAGATTAAGAAATGGTGACTAAAATGAAACACCAAAAGCAGAGTAGCGATCATTCTGAAAACAGATCTTCATAGACAAGGCTGAGAATAAAGTGGTGTGAAAACGGCTGTGACGTAAAAAAAAAACAGTGATCGTTTACATCTTCATCTGTTCATCGATACTGACACAAATGAACAATTTCAAACTAGAATTTAGGACAAACGTGATTATGTCAATTTTCTAATTGTTAAATTTCCATTTGTCAGCAGTTCCATACCGTCTGTTCCCTCGTGTGGCGTTGGCATATCTCAACTGATACGCTACGCTCGTGTATGTTCATGCTTTACGGACTTCAATAGCAGGGGTATTCTTCGAACACAAATACTGCTTCAACTGTGTGATGAGGAAGAATGACTGAAATCGACACTACATAAATTTTACGGTCATCACACGAAATGATGTCACTTACTTACGACACGATTAATGTTTGTATCAACTCACTAGATACCTATGTGTGCAGTCTTAGATATTTTGATACCAATGTCGCAAAATAAATGACAGACATTGTCTAATACTATTGGCAAAAGAAGCTTAACAAATTCAAGTTGTTCTGATTTGCAAGATAAATTCAAATTGAAATAATAAAAATAATACTACCTTTGGCGAGGTGAATACGCAGTTTTTCTTAGTTTGAAAAACTGATATTCATTGACCAGCGGTCGAAGTTGATATGGGGTTTTCAAATTTTATTTGAACCACATATTTAACGAAACAAAAGTCAGTTATTTTAATCCATATTCCGAGGATAAAATATTAAGTGAAAATCATACAAAAACATTAACCTTGAATCACACCATGTACATTATTGATATTTCAGAAGCATTTTTCGTTAATGATCATACTCTGTTTTACAGTTTACAATACTGATGATCCAATAATAGTCGGAAGTGTTGGAGCTTTTATTGCAATTATGACTCTCGTTGGAGCAGTTTTTGCTACCTGTGTGATCTTAAACAGGTACCTATAAACAACTTGATTATCATCAATGAACATAAACTGTTCCATCACCCCAAAATTAATAAATACACATGTGTAAACTGTAAAGATTTACTAAATAGAGGGTAAGTGTTATTTCTAGTGGTGTTAAAACGGTGAAAGATTTTTTGACGAAGTTATGATTTGGTTGACCATTATGGGATACATATTTCACTTGTCGTAACTAGAATCCTGTCCTATTTTTCCGCGAGTTCAACATTACCGATTGCAAATAATATCACAGTATTTTCACTTACTTACGCAACACGACGTGCGAAACATGTAGAACAAAAACTGCATATCCTTCAAGATCATCTGATTTTAATATGGGTTTTTATAAGGTTTGTGTTGTTCAAGCCTTAGTTTTCTGTTCACTGTAATTTTTGTTTGTAATTAAGTCGTTTTTAATTTTGACTTTGCTGTTGTCTGTTTTAAGGGACTTATAAAAGAGAGGCGAAAGATACATACGGCACTTTCAAAGTCAGAAGTGAAAAACAAAATGACAACGCCATGGCTAAAAAAGAAAAAAAGACCAAAAGACAGTACACAAAACACAACATAGAAAACTAAACACTGGGCAACACGACCCCCACCAAAAACTGGGGGTGGTCTAATGTGCTCCGGAAGGGGGATCCTGCTCCACATAAAGAACCTGTTGTGTTGCTCATGTTAGTACAAACCCGGTTATAAGTCTAATTCGGTAGGTCAAGTTCAGGGAAAGGGGGGAAGGATTGTAGTTACGACAATTGGAACATATCCGCTATCATCTGTGAAACGGATATTCCATAACAGTCAACCAACTCGTGATGGCGTCCGTAAAAGTTACGAAAGGATGACCTTAACTTCACCACTTGAAACTCTTGGTTTAATAGCTTCCGTGTGACAGCAACCCTCTATCAAGGATATCATGATAGGAAATACAAGCCCTGGAATATCGTATCAACTGGGAGATATATACTCTGTATGCAGGCGCTGATGGAATGTTGCTACTTAGAAATAGAAAGTTCACAATTGGGAAGCTGAAATCATCTCTTTTGTCGTTAAGTTTTGTTTTCAACCGGCCCTCATCGTTAATTTTTAGATGTAAGTCAAGATATGAAGCAGACTTAAATGTATATGTTGTATCCTTTGATGGGATAGATGCGTTCAACATATTCGCCAAATTTTGAGTTATTTAGTGAGAGAACATCATATTTATAGCGGAAAGTAAAATTAAACGATACTGCAAACTTCTTTTCTTTCTTCCTAAGAAGTTCCTATATGAAGCCAGCCTCATATGAATAAAGGAACAAGTTGGCAAGAAGAAGAGCACAGCTGGTGCCCATGAGAATGCCCGATTGTTTGTTGAAAAATATGTCCTCCAAACGTAATAAATATGTTGTCAATCAAAAAATCAAGCATCTTGATAATGTCGGTTTCAGAGAATTCTTTCGTTGAGTGATTTTTTACAAAGTACGATTTATTCCTCCCTAAGACAAGAAACTTGTATCTAAGTTGGTCATTTTTTTATGGAACAAAGCAGGACTAACCCTTTCAATTTGTCTTTTCGTTTTGAATGGGGAATACTTGTGTAAAATGTATAAAAAGTCAAATGTTTTAATACTTTTGCAAGATGAAAGAGACTAATACTGTATGTACTCTCAAAGAATTTTTTAGTATCCATATCTTATTCACACCACCTCTAGAATAGATAGTTTCACAATAACTTTGAAGCCCGGCTTTAATTGCTGATAAAATTGATGTTAATAATTTAGAAAGAGGTTTCGTTGAGCACTTTGAACACCCAGCAATATAATGTTGTTTGTATGGACACGTTTGTAGTTTTGGCATCCAATACAGTGATGGAAGATCCAGTTCTTCATCTTTGGTTGAAATTCTGAAGGAACATAGAACAGACCTATAATATTCAGGATTTCCTCCTTGATAAGTGTCGTGGGGGTATCTGTTGACTTTCCAAGTGAATTGTCAATTCCTAATTCATTTATCAAACAGGTTATATGATTTACACACAAAAACGATGTTGTTTTGGGCTTTATCTGCGGGGACAACAACACATTTATCATGGGATAAGGACAGGTGTTTTGCAACATTAGGATCTTTAAAGATTGATGTAGCATGGGTATTCATAGACCTATTCAGTTTTTTTAATTCTGATTTGTATCAACGACCTCACAGTCTTAATCCATTCGGAAAGAGTATCTACGTCTTCTTTCTTGCGTTTAACCCATTGCCTGGCATAATCCTCGATTGAATCTATCCGTATTGTAAGCTGTGTTTCCAATTGATTGATTTATGCTCACGACATTTCGGGCCTTTGGATAACTCATTTCGCAGAGAAGCGTTATTGACAATGTTTACGTCATCAGTAATAACATGGCCGGCTGGATTATATATGAATGGGGAACTAGCACAGGTGCAATCAGGAGGTTAAGATTTGAATGAATATGATGAATATATGATGAAGAATATTATTCTAGAAAAACAAGACTGACGGAGACAGTACTAGTACTGTTGGTTGTTTATATTTTGAATCAACATTGACTTTTTTATTTCAAAGATCATTTAACTATAACTGCATTTTTGGTTAATACTTTTCACTGTAACAAAATTTATTCTGTGTCAAGTTACTGTGTCATCTGACCATATATATTTCCGTCAATTAGGTTGTTCAGTGAAATAATAGTATCTTACATGCTGATACATATTATGTGTATCCATAGATTTTTTTGTCACAAGCAAACGTATTCCCTTGTCGATACTAAGGTCTATTTGATGGAACTTACCTATATTGAATTTATCAAATACTTGTTTTTGTATCTATAAACAAATAAGAATAAGAATAAAATTGAGAATGGAAATGGGGAATGTGTCAAAGAGACAACAACCCGACTAAAGAGCAGAATATAGCCCATTGCCACCAATGGGTCTATAACCCAGCGAGAAATCCCGCACCCAGAGGCGGGCTTCAGCTGGCCCCTTAACAAAAATGTGTACTAGTTCTGTGAAAATAGACGTCACACTAAACTCCGAAACATATAAATGAACTAAAATTTCAATAACATAAAAGACTAACGGAGGGCAGAGGCTCTTGACTTGGGACAGGTTCAAAAAGTGAAAAAGGGGGGGGGGGGGGGGTGGGGTTGTATCAGCTGTTGTTTCAATGGGTCTTTACTGATTTTATTTTAAATTTTGTTTTGTTTCAAGTTTTCATGAATCAAATGCCCTTTCCTAAGAATTAAACACACTCACACATAACAAAAAAATAAAAGCAAACGCGCGTTCCTTGATCTTCAACCCGTTACACAGTTATAATAGTGTTTGTCTATTCAATTGCAGATTGAATTTGAAGAAAGAAACAAGGAATGAATTATCGGACAGTTTTGATAGGAGGCAATTTCCAGCTATTCCACTGCGACATGGGGGGCATATCAGTTGGTATTAATATAGCGTCCTTGATTATGTAATACTGACACAGCATCGATGACTACATGTTACCAACACCTAGTAGATATGTTATGGCACTGGCAAATTGTCTGTATTTGCTGATAAACCATGCTAAACGTTGATCACATTGATGGATAATTTATCACTTGTAAATTAGTGAAAACAGATATTACGAGTTTGACATTGAAACGCTGGTTATGGATGTCAGTATTGTGTTATTTTATATCCTTGTCAATAGCAAATGTTTTCCCTGCATCTAACCAAATTGTGGTACTAATCATTTCATAATTACACAGCTATTTTAACAAATTATTTTACATTTCCTTAGATTAGATTCCTAGATACGTAGCTATATTTTAAAATGTAGTATAAATAAGGGCTTGGATGTTATTAATATTAGAAATATTTCCCACCATAAATCGTATAGAAAACAATATCTTATTACTCCAAAGATACAACCTCTCCCGCCATTTTGTATGTCAAACCATTGCATCCAAAATTTTTAATCACAACAGGGTGTAAATGATCGTTACCCTGAAAGATGAAAATAAACCATTACGATTGCTTTTGTTTATTGTCCCTATATAAATGTGGTCTTGCTCGCCATAGTACTGCAATGAACCACCAAATGTGTTGTTAGTTCGAAAAATTATATTCCGCAGTCGAGGTTGCTGGTGGATGCAGATTTCCTTACAAAAGAACGTAGTGTTTAACATGTTTAAAGCAATAATTCTTGTACACCTACGTCGTTTAAGAACGAGGAGAATTTAGGAAAACCACGATACTGCCTTTTTGCCTTTGGAATTGCTCAACAATATCTAAACTTCGTAAATTTTTTTCTACACTCTACGACGGGTGCCACATGTGGAGCAGGATCTGTTGACTCTGCCGGAGCACCTGAGATCACTCCAAATAAATACACCGAAGCCGATATAATGAAAAGCTGGATTTGTCGTTGGTAGATAATTTTCAACAAACATTTTGTTATTCCAATTAGTCTTAAATGTGTAATCCTTTTGGTCGATTTAATGTTCGAATTTATATGCAACACAATTTATTCAAAAGCCTTATAAACAAGCAGGTAATACCCTGTCTAACTTCATGTTCAGATATATGTTTGATGTCCTCTCTAAACAAAACACACGTTTTCAGTTATCCCAAGGTCGTATGGTGTTTTATATTTTTGTTTGACTGGAACGACGTATCTGTTTCTCAACTCACGAGCTATATGTTTCTATAGTCTTACATCATATAATACAAAAAAATCCGCTTTATCTGTAAAGGTACTGATTGTACCCCATTCCTTATCGTGTCAATTTCATCGAGTTTGGATTCGCATGACCGATGATTTAATAGAAAATCACCGTTACCCTGTCAACTGCTCCATTAAGGGTTCATGTGATTTCCTTGGGTTTTGTTTTTTTTTTATCTTATATATCTCGTATATTTACTGGAAATG